TCCTATCCCCTCGTGTGCCTTGCCTCCACGATATATATAGTTTTAGAGGTACACTTTAATTCTATATGTTAATGTTAATGTTGTAACCGCATATAAACTTTTTTTTTTCTTATTGAAATAATATCGCTTCTATAAAAGAAAAAGTTTATATAAGGTTGAGGCCCTAAACAATCAAACTAAGCGTGCCTCCAAATTTTAGTAGAAGCAGTTTTTTCGATGCTGAAAAACCCTTAAATCCAATCTTCTTGACCTTGAGATACATGGATGTCAAAAATAAATAGAGACTTCAAATTTTGAAAATAGTGCATCATGTAATGCCTTATTTAGACTGTTAATTTTCAAGGTTTTTAAATGTTCATAGATCTGCTCGATCTACACTATTTTGAAGCTTTAAATTTTATAATTAGATATGAAAATAAAGTTTCAAGCCATCACAAAGATTTCTAATACCAGAAAAATATTCCGGTACTATGAAAAGGTGCACATTATTTTGATTAATAAGGGGTGTGGTTTGTATAAGGTTGATGCCCTAAACAATCAAAATAAGGCACACTTTTAAATAGTATCAAAAATATATCGTTTCAGTTGGAAAATCTTTATGATGACTTAAAAATTTATAAAATTTAAAGTTTAAAAGTAGTGTCGATCAAATAGATCTATGAACAAGTTGAAAAATCTTAAAAACTGACAGGCTGAAAATTCTATCGCACGATACACTATTTTCAAGACTTAAAATCTATTTTTTTTTACGTCCATACATTTTTTAGGTCAAGATGATGGATTTGACGATTTTTGAACATTGAAATAATTTTTTCTAATGGATGTTTTAGGTGTGTCTTAATTTAGTTGTTTAGGGTATGGCCTTTATATAAACGTTTTCTTTAATAAAAAGTTTGTCATTTTCTATTTTACGTGGCACGTGGATACGAATATCCACGTTTCAAATGGCGCGTGCGTATCTATTTTGAAAAGTGGGAAAAACTTTCACAAATTTAGTATAAGTATCTTAATAATTTATTTGCATGCTTATCTCTAGATTTTTCTATTCTTTGAATAGGGTTAGGATATGGTTAGGTTGGATAAGAGGGAACCCCCTAATTTTAAACCCTTCTAAAAAAGAGTTGACAAATGACACAAACAGTAACAAGAGAATAAATGCAAAAATCTTTTTCATTAAGTTGTATACTATGCAGGCATTTGAATTTTGAAAACAGCATTGGCACCTTTCTAACCGTAGGATTAAAAGAGTAGATGGCTACGGCGATGTCATCAAACTGTTCCAAATTGAATAGTAGCATGGACACCTTTTCTCAAATCCATTGAATTGTTGACTCTTAATTGACTCCCATTGGTTGGCCATGCACACTTGCCCAAGCGACTTCGTAGAATCAGACACTCCCTCTCTCTCTATCTTTCTCTCTCTCTCTAAAAGGTTAATTTGGATATATACATCTGTAAAATTAATTTTTTTTGGAGTAATACAATAATCTTGTAGACTATATTGTTCTGTAGTCCATAGTTCTATTACTCTCCCTCTCTCCACTACCCTTCATCTACTGATTAGACGGTGATGATTGTTTTGGTGCTTAGAGTGGACATTCATTTCCCCAATTTTCCCTCCCTTTTTTTAGGCCCATTAATTTTTTTTTTGTCTCTTTGCTAAAAATAGGTGGCCTTAGGGCTATTTAAACTGTTGTATGGTGGTTTCTAGGAGCATCACACCAGAGGACTCTTGAGGCAAAGTAAGTTTTTTTTAGTTTGTTTATTTGTTTTTTTAGTGTAAGTCACTGCAATTTTTTAGTCTGTGTCTGTGTTTTAAAAATATTATTTTTCTGCTAAAAAAATGTTTCTTTTTTCCATTGGTGTTTCTCTCTAGGCTTTGTACCTAAGTCAACTTGTGTCCTTTCAGTTTTTGAAGTGTTGTTCCCTCAAGTACTTCTCTCTCCTCTGTCTCCCTCTCTTTTTCAACTTTGAAATACCTTCTCTCTCTATATATCTCTCTATGTGAACTTGATGTGATCTCTCTCTTCCATTTGAACTAGTTTGATGTGCTCTCTCTCTCTCTCTCTCTCCTCCCTCCCCATTTGCACTAGTGTGATGTGATCTCTCTCCATTTGAACTACTCTTATGTGATCTTTCAGCTTCTCTCCATCTCCATTTGAACTACTATTATGATCTCTCTCTCTCTGTATCTCTCTTTCTCTCTTTCATTTGAACTGTTTTTCTTGCTAAAACATGCTGAAGTTTGGAGAAATGGTGCGATCTGGTGCACTATGAATTTTTTGAAGCTAAGTGATCGACTTCTTTCTCGAGATATTATTTTGCATGTTTCTATTCTAATATGTAATATTTGTTTCTCATATTTTTGCACGTTTGTATTCGAATTTGTGATAGTTGTTTCTAGTGAATGCCTTAAGGCTCGTTTAGCTCATGGTTTAAGCTCTTTATCGGCTTTATATTAAACTGATATTTGCAACTAATCTAAGTTTGCATGTTTCTATTCTAACATGTAAAATTTGTTTCTAATGAATCCTTTAAGACTTCGTTTAAAACAAAGAGCTTGAGCTCTTTCTTGATTTAAATAAAGCTACTATACTGAAGCAAATCTAAATAGGTTTTAGATTAAGCTGATATTCTGCAACAAATCTATTTTTGCGTGTTTCTATTCTAATTTCTAATAGATGTTTAGAATGAATGCTTTAGGGTTCGTTTCATGAAGTGCTTAATCGGTTTGAGACTAAACTACTATACTGCAACCAATCTAAATTTGCATGTTAATATTCTACAAAGTAATATTTTGTTTGTAATAAATGATTAAGCTCTTTATTGGTTTTAGATTAAACTGATATTCTGCAACAAATCTAATTTTTCAAGTTTCTATTCGAATTTGTCATAGAAGTTTAGAATGGATGCTTTAGGCTTTGATTTTGTAAAGCGCTTAATCAATTTCAGATTAAACTGGCATTCTGCAACAAATCTAAATTTGCATGTTTATATTCTACAATGTAATATTTATTTTTAATGAATGATTTCTCTTCCTTGGTATTAGATTAAACTGATGTTCTGCAACAAATCTAATTTTGGATTTTGTCTTTCCTAATATGTAATTTAGTTTCTTTTGAATGCTTTAAAGCTTGTTCAGCAAATTGCTTAAACTCTTTCTTGATTTATTCTACTATCTAATATTTGTTTCTAATGAACGAATTAATGCTTGAGTTTGCATTTTTAATTGATTCCGGGTTGTATGAGGATTCATATAACTTTCAGCCTGTTAGGGTTACAGATGGCGCTTTAACTCTGGTGTTAACTATGCCTCAATACCATAAGATATTGCATTACTCAGTTCTCCTTAAATTTTTTGGGTATTTCAATCCTCATTCCTCACTTGCTAGATTCATGGCACATATATTATACAGTATTTGTTCAGGTCGGGTGTTTCATTTGTTTCATTATATTAATATATCATGTTAACTCCAGCATGAACACAAGATTATCTAGTGTATTGCATTGATAAAATTTTAGGCCGTATTCACTTGCATTATTGGGTAATATTACTAATAATACTCTCTTTTTAAGACATTTTTTCATCTTAGTAGTATGCAATTTAGACAGTTGGTTTGTCAAAATAAGGACATCTGTTTACGTGATTCTTTGTCTATTTGTACCTTTTGTTCGGATTTGTTGCTTTTTGTATGGAAGCTATAATTTTCCCCTAATTTTGTTTGTATGTTATCTACTGTTTGAATTCGTAAATAGAGAATTTTTTTGATCAAGTGCTTTCTCTGCACGAGGTGAATTTTAATCGTAACTCGTACATTTTTTTTTTTTGGGGTATTACATATATGGTTGCATGCGTTAGATTGTCATTTTGGCATTCTTGCTTAACTCTTCCTCATTGACATCGGGGTATATACACCTTCGATTTTTAGGACAAGGATGTCAATATGTTTCATGAGAGTTCTTAAACTGGCAAGATGGAATTTATTGTGCTTTGCTTCTTTTGACAGGGATAACATGTTTCATGAGAGTTTCTAAATTGGCTACCAACATACCTCAATGTTTTATGAGAGTTTCTCATATTGCAGCTGAGGAACCTCTTGGGCTATGTTGTGTTGGATTTGCAGTTCTACGTCAGTTCTTAAAATGAAGAAATGTATTTTCTCTCTCAAGCCTTCTGATTTTGATTCTGATGCCCAGCTTTACACAGCCTTATGATTTTTAAATCTCTCTCTCTCTCTCTCTCTCTCTCTCTCTCTCTTTCTCTCTCATGCGCTGACACACACATACTCACACACACAAACCTGGTGTTCTGATTCTTGGCATTTTTACACTTCTGTCTCAGATTCTGCATTTCTTTAATATCTTACTTCTAATAATTGTGTCTTGGTTGGTTGGAAGCCGTAACGATGGATGGTTCTAGTGCTACACATGGCCCTGATAGAAGGAAGGTTAGAGTAATAAATGAGCAATGTCGTGATCGAATCAGCTGTTTACCAGATGTAATCCTGAACTCCATTCTGGCTTTATTGCCATCAAAGGAGGCTGTTCGCACTTGTATTTTATCAACGAGATGGAGGTTTTTATGGACCTCCATACCAAACCTCGACTTGGAATGGAACCCCAGGGACTCGGAATGTAAAAATGAAGGGACCTTTATTCAATGGATCGATCGGGTCTTGCGAATCCATCAAGGGCCCATTCATAAATTTCGTCTCTCTTGGCCCTTTCAAATCTCTTGCAGGTCATATGTTGATCAATGGATCCTTTACTTAACAGGAGCGGGCATAAAAAAGCTTGATCTCAATCTGCACTGGAAATGTGAAGCTCCTTATCAAATCCCTTATTGTCTCTTTGAATGCGAGTCATTGAAGGTTGTAAGGTTTCATTCTAATCATCAGTGCACTTTTAATCCTCCTTTGAAATTTGAGGGTCTTAGCTCTCTTGAGACTCTTTCCTTGATTGGTGTTTTAATCTCAAGCGATTTTATTCAGAGTCTGGAATCGAATTGTGGTCATCTTAGGAGCTTATTTATAAGCAATTGCCATTTTCCGAATGTTATTGTAAGCTTGTCTTCCAAAGGTCTCCAGCTTGAGAGGTTGACTCTGAACAATTGCTTAGACTTCATACTCATTGATATTCCAAGCCTCAAATCTTTTAAAGCCACCACTAATAAACTGGGTTTGACACTCTTGAGTGCTCCGAATTTGGTGGATGGCTCACTTTCTGTTGTTCTATTGGATGATGACAAATTTCACGAGGCAGCTGTTTCATATTCTCACCTTTTCCTGGAAATTCTTTCAAAGCTGTTCAGGGTGGAGACCCTTTGTTTACTTCGGCATTCTATTTTGGTAAGCCTTCGTTCACTTTTTAGTTATATTTTCAAAAGGAAAGCATATCATAATCTGATGGAGTGGTTTATGATACTCCAAAGGAGCATCTGCCTTCAGCTCCCAATGAGGGAAAGTGAAGATTTACTATTGTCCGTCATCTGGGAGAAAAAGCAGATTCTTGGAGTACTGTATAACTGCTTACTTATGGTGTGCTTTTCCCTCTTGGGAGAAGACTAACATGTTTTTTCGTTTTCACTATAAGACCTATGTGCTAAATGTGAACAGTGCCTTTCTTGGTTCTTTTCCCTTGAACAATTTTGCTATGCTCTCAACCTGTGTTATTTTCTTTAGTGTTTGGCAGCACTGATATTTTATGAGGATGGGGAAGTGCACCTTCCGCGTTACAGAAATCTTAAGAAATTAGAGGTAGAAATGAGATTGAAGGTCTTATCTGAGATTGAAGCAACTGCTTTCTTCTTTAAGAGCTGTCCTTCCTTGGAGGAGCTTATTGTTACGGTCAGCTTTCTGAATTCTAAGCGTTTGTTTTTAGTTCATCCATAGGTCTCTTCCATTGCTTTGTGTTCGTGATTTTTTCTCTAATATCTTTGAAATGTTTGACAGATAAACCATCAGAGCTACTATTCTGAGGCCGAAGAAGGTTATGATCAACGCCTTGATGGGATGGGTCACACTACAATGTTTTTTGAGGAATCTGTTCGTTCTCTGGTACACCTCAAGAAAGCCAGTATACGCAACTTCACAGGAAAGAAGGCTGAGATGGACTTTATGAAACTTTTGCTGTGTAATGCGCAATCACTCAAGGAGTTGTTTCTTATTCTCGATAAGAGATTGTACCAGGGGAAAGAAATTGAGCAAACCAAGAAGACATTTCTGGTCGAGAGGGCTCCATCAGAAGTGAAAGTAGTTTTGATTTCACCCAATATGCAGAAATAGTTGCTAGTTCTGTTTTCACCTAATATGCAAATATAGTTGCTAGTTTTGTTTTCATTTAATATGCAGAAATAGTTGGTTGTTGCTGAGGTTGTGCTCGTCTATTTTTTAGAAACTTTACATGATAATGGAACTTGGTTTTTACTCCTGTTGGGGATGATTTGGAAGGTTGGTTCTATACTTTTTTGCCTTTATATCTCTAATGTTGAGCCAATTTATAATATTTAGATGAAATCATACTATGTCTAGAAAGAATTGATTGAAATACAAAAGAGAGAAAAGGAAGCTTGATTGGGGTGACGGTGGCTGCTGCCTACATTACAGAAACTTGCCATGTTTGTATGCAAAAGCCTGCCGCACTTGATGCGGTGGGTTGTATACTTTCTGTTGTTCATCTACAAGTGAATTTATGCAATTTGTTTTCTCTGCCTCTAGAAAGAATTGATTGTGGTGGGGAAGATGGGGATGTCTATTAAACCTTCTGTTATGCTTTATCAGTTTTTCTAGTAAGCAAATTTTGTGCAATTACAAATCCTCATTGTAGGCTGTCAATGAGAAGTTGATGGAAGTTATACTATACCGCCTGTTATACTGCATAGATATAAACATATCCCAAATTGGCCGATGTCAATGACAAATGGCAGGTGAAAGTTGTTTCTCCTCCCCAAATTCTGATGGATTTGGAGCTGAGAAATGATGGGCCAACCATCGGGACCTATTTATATCCATGCAGGATATATACCAGACGTACTGAATTATTAGTCCCTTTACTAAAAGAGAATCTTGCATGAAATAGTTTCAGGGAAAGTTTGGCATCCTCTATCTATTCAGGAGTAATAAGTCATGATTGGGCAGGCTTTGGTGATGCCGATCATTCTGGTTTTAGCCTATTTCAAAACTGTAGTAAAATGCCTTGTCGCAATAAATCAAGACATAAGTTTTGGTTAATTCAGTTTTAGTCCAGAAAAAAGGTAGTAAAAGAAGTGGCAAAAAATAACTAAGTGCCAAAAATAGCTGAGTAGAAGGGCTATCATTATTTTGGCTTCAACTGGAAAGAAACTATGAAAATGGGTGCACATTTGTATGGTTTCCTGGTGCATTTGTTGGGAGAGGGTTGCTGAAAACACTAAATTTCCAGTAAAATAAAGGAAACTCTTCCTTCGTAATTTAAGCAATCAAATACCACATTAATAGTAAGAGCCTGCCATTTCTCATAAGTGAAACTCATTCTACAATTTGAAATTGACATTTACGTTATGAAAAAGTTTATACAAGGGTGAGGCCCTAAACAAGCAAATTAAGGCACAACTTAAAAATTCACTAGAAGAGATTGTTTTGATGCTGAAAAACCCTCAATTCAATCATCTTGACCTCAAGATGTGTGGACATGAGAAAAAATAGATTTCAAGTCTTGAAAATAGTGCATCTTGTAATGTATTATCTAGACCATTAATTTTTAAGATTTTCAAGTGTTCTTAGATCTTCTCATTCTACACTACTTTTGAATATTTAAATTTCATAATTAAAGATGAAAATAAATTTTTAGGCCACCATAAAAATTTCTGGTACTAAAACAACATAGTTTGGTACTATATGAAGGTGCACCTTTTTGATTGTTTAGGGCCTCGGCCTTTTACGAACCACAACCTTTACATCAAGACACCTCCATATTTCATAAGTGACTCATTCTACAACTTAAAACCGTTTAAAGCTAATTATGAATACCAAATTCCATGATATCTTTGGAGGATCAAATGCAACAGCCTTGTGAAATTTGGAATCAGTGGGAGGCGAATCATGGATGGCTTGATGGGTTGAGAGAGAGAGAGAGAGAGAGAGTTTGCTGCAATAAGCCAAGTTTGATGTATGTAATATAGAGGAACTTAAGGTGATTTTCAGTTTTTCCAAAAATAATGATATATTGTTGCTTCTTCTTGTTGGGAAGGGGAGGTGGGATGTGGGCCAGTGGGTTAAAGGATCCTTACTCATTTGAATTGATAAAAGAAACAAAAATACATTGAAATTTACCTCTGGAAAGAGCAGGGAGATGTATCATGAATAGAACAAACAGGAAGCAAAATCAGGAGGCTTAGTCTGTGTTGACACACACATCCACTTTTTCTTAGCTAATGCATCTGCAACTGTGTTACCTTCTCAATGGACATACAAAATATGCCAAATCCTCAAGCCACAGAATGTGAAACAGTAGCCATCTTTATTCCCATTCTTCGGGGGATGCAAGTCTTTCTTTTTAGATGAAGAATCATAAGAGAAGAATCAGTCTCCATCACTAATTTTACAGCAAAGTTCCGATGTTAATTGAGCACCAGAATTCCAAGCTTCAACTTCCGCAATATTATTACATTCCACTCTCAAAGGAATACTAATGCCTCCATATCCATCTTGAATCATCCCAAACGACCCAGAGTGCCCATAGACGATGATCCATCAATATTTAACTTCTACCAACCTACTGGGGATGGGGACTGAATGATGTTCTTTATTCTGGCTGCTTTACACTCCTAATAAGTAATTATAAGCTTAGCAACCAATAGTTTTTCCAAAGAGGGAAACCTGTATTTATATACTGATGCAAAATGAGCAATAAAGGAAAGCAATCAAGCCAATAATTGCTGCGGCAGATTCTCATCCCCTCCATACTTTTTCTAGTCCTTTCAATCATATCTGCCAAAAAACAAAGAATATACATGATTCTGAAATCCTTGGAACAAGATTTATATCTGTGCCATATGGTTGAAGTGATCCACGACACAGTCATGCTGGAGCATGTGAATCCATCCTCCTCTTGTCACAATGGACCTCTGAACCAACTTAGAGAATGAACAAATGAACAATAATGCTCCACCTTTGATATAAGACATGTCAAGAAACTAACTGCATTCCCTGCTTTTTTTTTTTTTTTTTTTCAGAAGTTTGGTAGCTGCTTATGCTAGGTAAGCTACCCACACCATCTTGTCCTAGGATGCAGCTTAATTCACCATGGTTCTGTAAAGTAAGCCTTAGCAGGTTCTTTGGATTTTTTGTGGACTCACTCTCACTTTACTGAACTTGCCACCTTTTAAGTGAATCCACATCAATGTATCTGCACCTAAACAAGAAGAAGTTAATAGGAAGCCAAACAACTATATGGACCCTGGAATTGTTAGAAAGCTGAAACCCTTGACCACATCTATAATTCGATAACCGGATTCAAAATATGATCTTTCTTGAAGTTACTTAAAAATGAGACCATTTAGAATTCACACCTTTAAAATGTTTCTTGGGAAAAGAATACATATTGAAAAAAATAGTTTTAAATAGAGTACTTTTAACTAAGTTCATGACTGTTGGTGCGTCTAGGTGAGTTTCTAATTTCACCTTTCCCATTTCACTACAATCCCTAATGCATTTTCCTTCATGATTTTGGTGTTCTTTCCTTCAAACTGACAGAACATAACCCCATTTAGCTGAGAGAGAATGAGAGAGAGATTGGCTCTAGTATACAATCCTTTCTTTTAAGTCTTAACTAAAGTTGGGTTGCACTTTGTTCCTCCTCTCCCACCTCCTCATAGTGATTTTTTTTTGTTTTTTAAAGATTTGATTGTCATGAGGGAGACGATCAGATCTATTTTGCTGTATGAAAATGTTTATGTATTGCTGAGTTGGAAAACTATTATTTTGAAAAAAGAAGAAGATGAGCTTGTAATTAGGCTCATGCAGGAGTTTAGCAAGGCATGCACGATGAAAGCTGCTTGGTGGATTTTATTGTCTCCTGATTCATTGTATGTGTGTTTTCTTTAATACAGATTGTAATGTGGACTCTATCTCCAAAGGTGGAATCCTCCTCTGATGAGAAGATGAGTAGCTCTAGAAACATGGCATCATCCAGCAAGTTACATGTGTCCCCTGTTTCCCGGGATTCCGAAACACTTGGTGGCTGTCTTTTCTAGCAGAGGTGCATGGGAAAAGACGAGTAAATGTTAAAGCATGGCATCATATAGCAAGTTACATATGTCCCCTTAGTTCCTGGGATTCTTAAATACTCGGCCAAAGTCTTTTCCATCAGAGGTACAGTGGAGCAGATATGCAATAAAGGTTTGGTCAACCCTGCTTTTAGAGCTTTTATAAAATGCAAAAGTGCATTCCATGGTGTTTTGCTTTACATAACCGACTGCTCACTCAACAACTGTTACAAGGGAAATGTGTTACTTGTCCATCTGAGCCTTTTTGGTTTAAACGTTGAGGATATTTTTCATCTATTTTGGAATTTTTCTGCGCCAAGTTGTATGCAGTCTATTGTTCTTTAGAGAGGCGAAGATTTCTAGATGTAATAAGATATGATGCAAACTTCCCTTAGAGGTTAATAGTTTCATGCAGGCATGCCTGTACAAGCCCCCCACCGTCCAAGGTGATTGCAAGATGTTCTTGCAATCACCACTATCCAACTAAGTTGGACGATTAGTTGGATGGTAGGGGGCTCGTGCTGGCATGTGGTCATGCCCCTATAGAAACCACGTCCTTCCATAAATGGTTAAAGTTCAGATTTAGTTTAGTGGGTTCAGGTTTAACATTCAGGAAATAAACAGATGAGTGGGTTTAAAGTCCATGTGGCATGGATTAAATTTTGAGACAATTGGTTTCATATTGATGGAAAGCAATAGGCCATATAAGGAAGGAACTAAGGTTACACGTGAACACTTCTTGATCAAGAAAATCTTGGCCTCTGTGAAAGAATTTGCAGAGGTACACATGGATGGACCTGCGACGTAATGAGAAAAATGTCATCGGCAATTTTGGGATGGAGACAGAAATCAGTGAGTTGGCAGGTCAAAGTTAAGTAGCATGGGATGTCTGTGCTACTAGGCGGCGTAAATTGCATCATTCAGGAATCTTTATTAGCAATGCCAGCTCAGCATGAGTATAGTGTTGGGTACTCAGAATATCTATGATCATGTTTATCCATCATGTGCGGAGTTGAGAACTAGCACTGTTAGAAATAGAGCAGCTTTAAAAATGACATAGCAACTCATCACCCACCGTCCATGGATAAACATGGATAAATGGACGTCAGATCAGGGTACCCAACAATATATTTGTATCGTGTATAAAAATATTTTCCTTGAAGATGGGCTAGGAAGGTTGATGACAGGAAGTGAACTTGAAAAAGAAAAGTTAGCTAA